TTTAATCACGCTAGACATCAGAAGTGAAGCATTTCAGAAGCTTCGCAAATCGTTGGTATTATTCGTCCATCACGCCCCTGCGGCTGGAGAGAACAGGTGGATGATTTGTTGCCGATTGTAAGACTTTTTGCGTGTATATACGTAAATCGGTTTGGTCTAGGTTGATTTTTGAATTCGGTGTATACGATATATCAAAAACTAATATGCAATGTGTTGTAACGACTAAAATATAATAACAAATAATTGGTTTTACAAGTGTTGTCGTTTACGAGTAATATCAAAAAAAAAAAAATTCTGAATCCTGTGGCCTTGGATTCGGTGGATTTTATGCCACTGAAACCAAGAAATATATTTAGAAAATCTTCCACTGAAGTCGGAAAAACCCGCCATTGAAAACAATTTTCTTTAAAAAGCTAGAATTTTACACGTTTGTTCGTATAAATGTTTGGTTAATATTATTGATTTTCACAACTTTATATTACAACTTGCTTCCCACTGAAAACGAATAAGGAAAATCAAAACAGAAAGCAAAAATTTGAAATCAAGAAGATGAAGGAACGTACTATAAAAGCAAAGAATAATAAGCGATCCGATTATATACGAAAGGCTTAAAGAAAGATAGACAGAGGTATGCGAAGAAAACGAAGAACGAAAAATTTTGAATTTGCCTGGATTAGGTACCTCGTCATGAATAAAATGTAAAAGAAAGATATTATTCGCGCAAGTTTCCAAAAATTTATAGCTTTCGTAGCATTGACTTACAAATAAATGGACGACGGGTCTAATACAAAAACCACGAAAAAAATGTCCCCAGTCAACCTATTTAAACGTAGTGACATGTAAAGGAATATGAAAAAGCTAAAACGTTGAATTTAAATTGTAATGTCATCGCAGTACTATCTAATTTTGCTTGCTTCGCTGTCAGTCGAACAAACGAAGACTAAAGCGTGAATGACGCTCTGTATACGATTTTAACGCCCTATAAGTTCGGACACTTTTTAGCGCGGATCCGACGTCCATATAATTGTAAGTCAATGTTTCGTAGCTACAGATTACGTTCTAAATTTTTTTTTAAAAGAGGTACGGAAATACTTTTTGTGTGATTGATAAAAGGCTAAACAGCCAAACTGAAAACTGATTTCAAACTGAAAATTTGTTTGCGTTGTTATGGTCGATTTATAAATAAATTTTAGTTTTTAAAGCTTGATTCAATAGTTAGTCATATTAGTAAATGTTTATGTAGATTATTAAATGTTTTTATTGCGTTTTTCATAATATTTTACACAAAAATTATGTCTTTTGTGAAAAAATCCTGATTTCGGTAGTAGCTGAATCGTATGTAATCGTAATATGTTATTATTGGATCCGCTATTAAGAATCTAGTTGCCCAATTAACGGAATCTTATTTAAGTTTGAGATTTTTCCTGCCCTCTCAATGTTTTTCCTGAAATTAATAAAAAAATTCGACCACTGAAGTCAGTGAATTTAGCTCTTCTAGGAGAAATGCCCATCTATTACACTATGATTTGCACGCTCATTGTGTATAATGTAACTGGTTCGGGAAAATTATTATATAACTAGTGCAAAATTGACTTACATTCCAATATTGTTTTTAATAGAGTCTCTGGATGGTGATGAATGATGATTAAACAGACACTTGTACATATACGTTATAGATTAGTCTCCTATCGATTTCCCCAGGTTTAGTCTCCACGTAACATATTGTCACATATTTAAATCGGTTAATTTCTGTTTAGTGGATGTTTTTTTGTCTGTTTAAAATATTTTTTGAACGATTTCGATCTGCGATACCTGTTGTATAAAGCTCAGGTCCGAAGCAGTATGGAGTACTGTTCGCACCTTTGGGACGGCTCTGCCAAGTACTTGCTCGGTGCCCTAGATGGACTGCAGCGCTACGCCTCCCGTGTTGTCAACGATCCTCATGTAACTGAGCATGCGGAGTCGTTACAGCTTCGCAGAGATATAGCGTCTCTTAGCGTATTCTATCGCCTGTACCACGGTGAGTGCTCTGAAGAGTTATTCAACCTTATCCCTTCCTCTCCTTTCCATCAGCGCACTACCCGTGCCGGACTGCGTTGCCACAGTTGGACGGTCAGTTCAATACCGTCCCGTACTAAAAAGTTTGGCAATTCGTTTTTATGCCGAACCATCAAATTGTGGAACCAACTCCCGGCGCATGTATTCCCTCCCTCTATAACATCGGGTCCTTCAAACGTAGTGTGAAGAAGCATTTGGCCAGACCGGCAAAATGATAGTGACGGAGTGAAGATATTTGTGTTTTCCATCCGTTACTCTTATCTCTGGACTGTATTCGCACTTTCCATCAGGCGCGGTGCAGTCATTTTGCCGAGTCACAATTAAAAAAAAAAAGTAGAATAAGAGACTATTACGTATTGACGGGCATTAAAATACGAGTGTAGGTTTATAAAAACATCACACGAGTATTTAAATGCCTAATTATGTACAGTTACATACAATGCTGTATCTACACACATAATTATAAGCTTTTTGTGATGTGTTTAGGAACCACATGTTACGACTGGCGAAGTGGCGGTAAATAAAAACTTTTCTCACGCAAGTCACACAACAGCAGTTTTTTATCATTCATAGACAAACTAGACTCCATCCCTATTATCATATCGTTCGATATCAAGTAACGTATGAAATTTGTCAAAATCGTCTGCTATGTAGGGCGCACTGTGTGTTTCTGGAACTGGCCACTTACATAAACAATATTTAAAAAGTAATTACAACATTTGCAAAATGGAACTCTTTGGCTGTAGAATATAGTTTGTTTCATCTGACTGTCACTTGTTTTTACATTGTGGCGTCATTTATAAATTGGCTGTCTACATCTTTTGGTTGTTTACGATTTAACTCGTGTAAATTTTCGTAGTATGATTGTCTACGACTTTAAGTGTAATTTAACAGCTTAGCGAAGCTTCGCACAGCTTCAAACTGCTTTTGGCAATGAAGCACCATGCAAGACGACTATTTATAGCTGGTTTGCAGAATTCAAACGCGGTCGTGTGAATCTCAGTGACGAATTTCGTGATAGTCGCCCGTTGACTGCTGTGAAGAACAAAAACATGGATGCTGTGCGCCGTATGATCAAAACAGACATGCATGTGACATACCTACCATAAGATTCGGGCATCTTTAGGCATAGACATGAGTCAAATACAATCAATACTACACAAACATTTGGGTGTGAAAAAACTGTGCTCTTGGTGGTTCCCACACAATTTGACTGAGGCTCAAAAAACGGATCACGTCACTTGGCGCAATGCCATGCTTACCAGATCCAACGAAGGGGCATCAAGTTTGGTGTGGGACATAGTAACAGGTGACGAAACATGGATTTATTGTTACGATCCCAAAACAAAGCAGCAATCGAGCGTATGGGTCTTCCGAGATGAGCCGAAACCAACCAAAGTGGCGCGCGTGCAAAGTGCCTCTAAGCGGATGATTGCTTCTTTTTTTAATAAAACTGGACACGTGGCTACTGTTGCTTTGGAGAATCGTTGTACCGTGAATATTGATTGGTACACGACCATTTATTTGCCGGAAGTTATTAACAAACTCCGTAAAAATAACCGTAAACACCGTATCATCTTGCACCACGATAATTCCAGTTCTCACACGACCAGACAGACAAATGAATTTTTGAAGGTGAACAACGTTGACCTTATGAGCCATCCCGCGTACAGTCCCGACCTGGCACCTTGTGACTTTTATTTATTTCCAAAAATTAAGAACCAGTTACGCGGTCAACGCTTTTCATCACCTAAAGAGGCTGTCGAAGAGTATGAAAAATATGTTTCAGAGATTGTCACGGAGGAGTGGCATAAATATTTTCAAAATTGGTTCATTCGTATGAAAAAGTGCATTAACGCTAACGGAGAATATTTTGAAAAACAATAAATTCATTTCTGGCCATTTATAGTATTTTTTTCTTAACCTCACGTATTGACATTTCATTTTGAACATAACTTCAGCTCGACTGATATTAGAATTGAGGTCAAAGCAAATTGTTTTGTTTTTCAGAGATGTTCCAAATTTGAATGTGACATTTTCACAGATAAAAAATTTGTTCTAATAAAACAGTTTAATCTTCATGCTATTCGTAATTTGCGGTTTTTGATCATGTCATAGAGGATTTACGATATGTATGTAGATAAAATTAGTTAACCTATTTATATATAAGACAATATATAATAATAATTGGACATGGTTAAGTAAAAAATTAGTTATATGTACCAAACGGTTCCTAAAGTCACTCAGATCAGCAAAAAAAACCTGCCAAATCTCGAAAGTGAGTGGATGTGGATTGGATCCTTGTTTTTATAATTGGTAGTTTCTAATCTATCGAATTTTTGAATATTTACGTTTTTCATGGAAAATTTACGTTTTTCAGGTGAAAAGAAAAATAATTAAATTGTCGAAGACTTTGATAACACAACAAAACAACCGTTTAAGTATGTTTCAAAGTAAAAAAACGATAAATTAGTATATTCATCAGTACACACCAAATTTATTAAATAACAAAAAGTGTACATGTACTTACTCATAAATCCTACTACTTACTATTTAAATATGAGAAATATTTATCCAATTAAATAATTGTAATTTAATTAAGCATTTGTGAAGTTATATGTTATAGAAGTAGGTTACCTGTACTCGAGTCTTGGTTCAAAAATCAGCAAACTTTTTGTTTCCTAAGTAATAGCTATTTTCTTTGAGCTTCATGTCTTAATAATTGGACAAGTCTATGGGAGTTCCGAAAAACCAAAGTGCTCTTTATTCAATTGGTATATAAACGGACAGTACTTCTTTGCTAGTTGAGTTATAGTTGAAGAGTTTGATATATTGAAAGTTTCAGTACGAGAGTTCCAAAAATGGTAACCATACGAAAAATTGTTCACCCAGTTACCAGGTTCGAAATATTTGCGTCCTTCTGTCCATGGGATTGTATAAAAGTAGGAAGGTCCGTATATTCTAATACCTATAAAAGTAATTTTTATTTCAATTCGTAGGTCAATGCAATTTGTTCAAAATTTTCAATTCTGTCATTAACCGCTTGAAGATAGAACTACAACTACAACAAGGCGTAATCGAAATAGGTACAATAGACAAACGTTTACAGGAATACGTACTTCAGTGCTTAGGAGGCTTATGGTCGTATTCCAGAACTCTACTCAATGCTCAAGCCAGGACTTGAGTATTGCAGTGAGCACTGAAAATCATACACAAGTCCTTGCCATTAGGGTCGTATTTCCAGTACTTGTGTTTCCAGTGCAATCCTGACTTGAGCATTGAGTAGAGTTCTAGAATACGACTCTTAGACTGTTGGGCGCTTCTTAGAAGCTTATAGCAGCACTGCAGTTGCGGCAGTTTTGCAGACTAGATATTGTGTGAAAATTCATATACGTCTATGAAACGCCACAAATGCGCCACTGCAAGCTTCTATAAGCGTCTAATTTGAAGGCGCCATTAACTTTTGTTAATAACTGTAAAGCAATTCATTTTTGTACATCCCCGTAACGTACCTTTACATGTCGGCATGGTCATTTGAGAAAAATTGTTAGTGTTGCAATACATTTCAAACTTTCTGGTCATTAAGCCGGGACCATTATAAACAAAAAGTTTAGGATTAAATGTGGTCGCTAGTTCCCTGAAAACATTTATTTGTCATAAACTCAAGAACAAAATAATAGATAATGACAAAAGGAGTAAGTTCAAATACCATAAAACTTCTTTAGCGATACTTCTGCCGGCACTGTCATTAGAGAATGACAGAAGGCCTGTTGATACAGAATAATCATTCTCCCTTGTGACAAAGTTCCGCTCTAGATCATATAGAGGCTTAACGAGCAACGCGTCCAAGTCAAGGTATACGCCATCCCACTGTATTAAGAATAAGCCTATTACACAACGCATCGCATTATCCCATTGTAGGTACCTCATGGGATTTCTTTACCAGTTTTTACCTAGTACTATATAGTTGAAGTTCTACATTATCTCACATTGTTAGTGAAGCCTGGAGATTAAATTATTATTTCTATTACTTAGAATAATAACGCATAGAATGATAGTTTCATATCAAACGAACTGTCACAAGTGAGGCAAAAATCACATTCATGTAGGCTAGTTTTAGCAGTAGGTTAATTTTCGGTTTTAGTGAATATTTATATAAAAATACAAGTTGAAACGCGTTACTTCCTTGTGGAATGTGATGTTAGTATCTATTTTATGTTTGTCTGACGCATTTACCGCACATTTCGTCATTTTTAGCTAAAATTCTGGAGCTGTTCGCGGTGCAAGTTGACCTTGAGCACTGAAGGCCTGCCTGCTCGTGTAGGCCCATTGGGAGCGCTTCAATTTGCCTCACTTAGCGTGTGCGGACTAGGTTTCTATGCGTTATTATTCTAAGTTCTATTAACTAATTTGTTTAGGAAAACAATGTACAGTCATATACATGAGATACCTGACCCCCTAACATGCCCAAACCGACCTTTTGGTTCTGAGAGCCATGTTACGTATTGAACAAAGAAAAAATTAAAGAATTTCAATTTTATTGTATAAGCAATACAGTGGTGTGTTGCTAGAAGATGATCAACATATTATTAAAACCAATCCTAAATTTCGTCATTTAACATCCAAGTAAATTGGTCGTACGGCTTGTTGTATGGACTGCCAGTTACAATACCCGTGGTTTGATTCCACGAGCACTATTTTGTTTTAACGTTATAACCTTAGAACAATAACGCATAAAATGATAGTTTCATATCAAACGAACTGTCAAGCCTCACCTCACAAGACCTCAAAAGTACGTGGAATTACGTCTGTTTGCTAAGTTTTATTGAAATATCCCCTAGTTCACCACTATACAGGACTTGACACTGGAGATAATAAAAATCGGTTCTCACTACTCAAAGTATATCGAGAGAAAAACGCCTTGAATTGGAGAAATAGCAAAATCAACCATTAAAGTAATTGACCCTAAATTAAAGTTAGGCGCTATTTATAAAAATGAATCATCTTGCGTGAACAGCCACTCTTCGAGGTAGATGATTTTCTTCAAAATGAAATGGGACCACTATGGAAGTACCCCCTTTCCAACAAAAAAGGAATCATGAAAATCGGTTCACAAATACCGGAGTTATCGCGTAACATACATACAAAAAAGCATACAGACGAATTGAGAACCTCCTCCTTTTTTGAAGTCGGTTAAAAAATACAGTAGTTACTGATACAGGCCGTATATTTTAAATATGTTTACTAATTATAATTTAGAAGAATAAAATATTAAAATATTTGTTGAATTAATCAAGAAGGTTATTTTTATTTCATTCACCGGGAGATGGTTCACTTTGAGAATCTCAGAGTCGTTTTCTAGAACTGTACTCAATGTTGAAGTCAGGATTTGAGTATGGTTTAAAGCACTCGAAATCTTACTCAAGTCCCTGCCATTAGGGTCGTACTTCCAGTGCTTGTTTTTCCAGTGCAATCCTGACTTGAGCATTGAGTAGAGTTCTAGGATACGACCCTAACATTCTTAGACATTCCTTACACCTATCCAGAGGTTAAAAACAAAAAAATACAATATTATATAGTCATAGCTAAATAATATTTTATTTTTAAAGTGACTCGAACCATGCTTGCCTCAACTTGCAAAGCAATCCTTACACCGCTAGGCCACGACGTCCTTACTATTATGGCTAGTTGAAATTTGTATTCTATATTTAAGTAAGAACTATACGTAAAAGATCAAATTGGCATAAAAACTTTCTACAATGTCATTCACTAATGAGACGACCAGGAGTCATACCAAACTAAATTGTACGGCTCACAGGTTAAAGATTAAGTTTGTTTAGCAATTTTCCCAATATTTTTGTGCTCAGAATCAAAAGGTCGACAAAGTCAGCTTGGTACAGGTATCTTGTGTATATGACTGTACATAGTCTCGTACAAGTCTTACAAAAAATACATTAAATTATTAACAGATCAGATTGTGCCATTAACTAAGTACAAATATTACAAAATTTGAATTAGTGCAATGAACACCTTCCCAAAACGAAAAGAATTGGTAATGCCTACCAAAAAATAAATAAACGAAGAATGATAATGTAGGCAATATTTAAATCAGCTGGCACAGAGGTTTTAGTTGCATCTAATGTATTAATGTGGTACTCAGTCAAATATAATATCTCCCAGTTTTTGTTTGTTACTCGATCATCAATGATAAAGAAAAAATATCGATGTATTTCTATTTGTTATTATAATACCTAAACGAAGGGTCGAATAAATGTGTTTTTAGCATAGTTTGTTGAACATGGGTACAAAAACAAATGAATTTTTTTCACTGAAGGATTCTTGGAATGTTAAAGTTAATCAATTGTGGTAATGGTGTAGAGTTTGTACTACCGTCCATCTTATTATACTTTTTACGGCGCGTGTACACGCTAAGAAATTCGACGCGTCTGCTACAGAAAAGAAGAGAATGGTCTTGTACACGACAAGAACTTTGTCGGATTTAGCCACGAAATCATGTCGTGTCTGTTGCAGACGAGAAAATGTGTGCACGATACGAATGGTTTCGACGTGTGTCAGTGCATTACGAGTCTTCCAGTAGCTGTCGCTTTACTACCGACTGTGGGAAGAAATATGTTTTGTTGACTACTAAGCAACACCCGTCCACGCGCATAGACGTTCGTTTACTGACAATGCAACTCACCCTGCCCCATACAATAGTGGCAGAGCGCGTCGTGTCGGGGGTAGGCAAGATTTTTTTTTTATTTCGTGTGTAGAAACGACACGAATTCTTGCATAGACCCGGCGACTTTTCTTAGTGTGGACACGCGCCCCCATTCCTTTCCTGTATGTCTGGTGCACCCAGCTCTGATTGGTAAATCCTTCCGCCATGATGGTTAATGCCTACCGTGCAGTGTACACCATCGATATGGTAAAAAGATTAGAGAGTATTTACTTAAATACAAAAAAAAGATACACATACTTACTTTGTACAGCGTTACTAGACGTAGGATATCCGCCGCGTGACGGACTGCATCATATGATTTATTTAAATAATGTCTAGTTATCAAATATTCTACCGGAGTATTCTTAACATATTTCAAGATATTGACCCGCCAAAATTTTACATTGGAAAACCCTTGAAAAGGATTCAGATTAGCCCGTGAACTCATATTCATAGGAGCTGAGAACGCTATGTTAATTTGCCAGTCCGGATGGAATCTCGCAGCCGATTCAACCACGCATGCTTGTCGGGGACCGAGTGAACCGTTACACGTGGTTTCATGGAAGTAAATATGTTTTTTCGTACTGTTAAACCTATGATTTTCCATTTGCGGTAGATCATCTTCCAATTCGTTATTATAACATGATATAATATCCTCATATTTATTGTACCCGTTGACCCCGTTGACCCCGTTGGCCCCGTTGGCGTAGACCCACAAAAACACTATTGCCAGCCCAACCACAATCTTAATTGGAATGTAATTTATTTGTCGAAAAGTTTTGCACTGGAAAGCTCGAAAACACTTTCTTATATTCACAAGTAACATTATTTATATTTTTTATTATTATTTTTTCTATAACGGCGGTTGAACTTACGTTGTGGAAAATCGATCATGAAAAATTATGTTACTAGTTTACTTTACATATGTATATATGTATATATGTACAATTGTACAATACGAGAGCCTCGCAAGCATAGAATTTTACAAGGCAGTATTCGTCATGACAAGTGACAACCAGCAAGCTATGGCTTATTTTTTCGCTGTGAAACCAAAAAGTTCCCATGCTATAAAAGACTTAATAGGAACTGAGGAATGAGGAACATACCTACATAAAGCCTACATTTAAATACGAAGAGGCAGGAATTAAAAAATCTAGATTAAATAAAACAGAAGATATGGTTTCCGTAAAAAACATTCTACAACTACAGCTATAATATATAAGTACATTCAAGCAGTTTTAAATATAATTAACGATAAGAAGTATGCAATAGGAGTTTTATTAGACTTATCAAAAGCCTATGATAGAGTTCAATTTAAAATATTGCTTAATAAGTTATACGGGGTTGGAATCCGCGGAATGGCACATAAATGGCTTACATCATATCTTAAAGACAGGGAACAAATTGTAGAAATAGAACATTACGACACCATTTCGGGTGAAATTAAAAATATCCAGTCAAACAGAAACATCGTTAATGCATCAATTCCTCAAGGTAGCGTAGTCGGTTGTCTTTTATTTATAATATATATTAATGACCTCCCAAAAAATATAGATGAAACCTGCGTGTTATTTGCTGATGACATCTCAATCCTCACTTCTTGTAATGATAGTATAAATCTGAAGGAAAGCCTTACATCTCTGCTTGAAACTACAACAAATTGGCTTAACGATCACAACCTCGAAATTAACTTATCAAAAACTAAAATTATAACTTTTCACCCTCATCAAAAGACCCCGCTATATGTTTCCGTACAATACCAGGGTACAGAAATAACGCCGGTTGATGTTTATACATTGTTGGGAGTTGACATTGATAAGCATTTAAATTGGAAAAAACATGTTCAAAAGCTAAAATCTAAATTGTCCAAATTTGTATATGCTTTAAGAGAATTAAAAAAAACTACAGACTTTAAAACTACTTTAACTACCTATTATGCCTTCGCTTACGCTTGGTTAAACTATGCTATAATTCTATGGGGCAATAGCACGGATACGCCTAGCCTCTTCACTTTACAAAAGAAATTAATTAGAATCCTCACAAATATTGCCCAAACAGATAGCTGTAAACCTCATTTTATCAAACATGAAATCCTGACTCTCCCATGTATCTATATACTAGAAGTTTGTAAATTTGTACGAAACCATCAAGACTTATATAAAAATCGTAAAGCCATCCCCATTAAATATACATTACGAAATATAAACAAATTAGTACTACCATATTCAAGATTAAATATGCATTTATCTAGTCCATACACCATGTCAATAAAAATATATAACAATCTTCCGGAAATTATAAAAAATGAACAAAATAACAAGATTTTCTTTAAAAACTTAAAGAATTTTCTCATAAAGAAAAGTTATTATAATGTAAAAGAGTTTTTAGAAGATAAATTTGGTATCTGAATTTAGTAACTAGTCGATAATAAATATAATAATATAAAGCGGTTGGCGTTGCTATATATCATATTATTATTATTATTATTAGTAAATAAATAAATAAATAATATATTAGTAAGTGTAACAATTATGAGACTAGTCCTCTCTTCTACTATTTGCTGTGCCCTGTTCAGGGTCCATAATTTGATCTCAATATATGTAAAACATCTGTAATGTACATTATGGAATGCAAATAAATAAATAAATAAATAAATAAATAACGATTTGATCTTCATAATCGGTTGGACCGACACACGTTGCTGTAAACGTGAATAAAAATTCTTGTACTGTTTGTTTCTATTTAGTGCTATAGGATTCGTAAAAATTTTAGGCCATTATATCTATGTGTGTTCGCCTGTAAAACCAAATTTCGCTTTGAACAATTGGTATGTAAATGAATAGTATTTCTTCGCTGAACGAACAAAGAATTTGTGGCCTTCACACCAGTGTATCTGACAAAAGTAGGAAGCTTCGTACGCCTGAAATTAGAACGAATTTAAAAGGTACATGGTTTCTTTTCTGAATTCACAGCTTTTGTGCTAAGTTCTTACCGCTGCATGTCAGCTAACACATTCTAGATGCATTTGTGGTATTGCAGCGCCTTTGTAACTATCTGGCCAAAGCTCCCGGACCATTGTAATTAAAAGTACGACCTTCAAAAGTGGCTGAAACTTCCCTGAAATAATTAATTTACTTATCACCAAATTATTTCTCCCACTATGTACAACACCTTACGTCGGACATTGTTATTTTTGTTATATGTATCATGTGTATGCTTACAATAATAACGCATAGAAACCTAGTCCGCACACGCTAAGTGAGGCAAATTGAAGCGTGCCCAATGGGCCTACACGAGCGGGCGGGCCGTCAGTGCTCAAGGTCAATTTGCACCGCGAACAGCTCAAGAATTTTAGCTAAAAATGACGAAATGTGCGGTAAATGAGTGTAAAAATACGCCAGACAAACATAAAATAGATACTAACATCAAATTCCACAAGGAAGTAACGCGTTTCAACTTGTATTTTTATATAAATATTCACTAAAACCGAAAATTAACCTACTACTAAAACTAGCCTACATGAATTTGATTTTTGCCTCACTTGTGACAGTTCGTTTGATATGAAACAATCATTCTATGCGTTATTATTCTAAGTGTGTATGTGTGTGTATATTAATAAAATGAAAGAATTTATTTCAGACAATGCGGTTAGATGTCCATTTAGTGGCTCAGGCTGGATAGATTATCTTTATTTTGTATTTAAAACTGTCTAAAAAATATGCAGCAGTATGACGCCTGTGAAAGAGTTCGTCCAGGGTAGTACTGCCACCTTACCTATTTCTGCCGGCAAGCAGTAATGTCAGCATTACTGTGTTCCGGTTTTGAAGGGTAAGGGTGCTGGTGAAATTATAGGCACATAGGACTTGTCAGCTTATGATGTGTCGGGCGCAGCAATGCCCCTCAGATCTTTGTCATTTAAAACTCCGAGTGGCACTGCAGCTGTTATGGACAGGCGTGTCGCTTATCACCAGGCGACGCACGACTTGTTCTTCCTCTCTCACTTAGTATCATAAAAAAAACGTTACATTTATGTGTAATTCGTGTATTAATAATTATTTGTTATGGAAGGCTACAAAGTTGTTGTTTGACACGAGTGCTTGTATTGGAACCTGAGCAAGTGAACGAAGCGAAGATTTTTTTTTAAATAAAAGAAAAAGTTTATTTTCGGATGCGTTCTGAATTTACACCTCATCAATTTTTATTCATTTTGTGTGATTAAGTGATTATTGAAATTATTTTAGTTGTAAGTCAATGGTGTAAAATATTCGTATGCCAAGTTTATATTGAAATGTACGATTTATTATAATATACTATAAGACCTGCAATGTTAACTACATTTTTCAGCGAATAAATATCTTATATTCTTGTATTGTTGATGATGAGTTGGTTTATCCGAAAAAACAAATATATTTTTATTTATTTATAGAGATTCATTACATTGCATTCATTACTTACCAATGTACATTGTACATCGGTAAGTGTTTAGCTAGATACACAAATATTTATTTTAAAGATGAACACAGATATGATTAAATTGAGCAGAATAGTCTTAATATTATACAGTGTATATATACAAATAGAAAATAACAAACTGCAGGCAGTGCCGGATTTGCAGTATTGACCGCTCCAGGACCCAGGCCATATAGTAAGTACCAGTCGCCCCTTTCTCAGCACTTATCATATACTGGTAGACTACACAATGAATTTACTCTATTGCCAACTTTTATCGAAGTCGATTTAGAAATTTAGTTAACTATAATAGCAGACGCGGTAGTGACAATATGTGGTGATGTAGTGATTATACATTACATTATATATATGTTACAGCCTTTAGAATATTTAGTTACTTTGAGTTACTTTTTGTTATCATCAGTGAATTTTCTGTCACGATTGGCCGCCCCTAAAATCTGGCCGCTCTAGGTCCGCGCATAATGGGCCTTAGGGCAAATCCGCCACTGACTGAATATATGACAAAATGAAATGATGACATGAATATATGCGACTTATATTCAAAAAAAACTGTGACCATGAGACGATGATGAGTTGGTTTGTTCGAAAAAACAAATATACACTATTTATATCGAAAAAAATAGTTTCATTTCCTATGTGCAACAATCGCGAAAACCTAAAAACTCGGAACAATACAGACGATACGATAGAATCCGGTCAAGCAAAATACACGAAATTGCGCCCTGCCCAGCAGTGGGACGTACCGTACCTAGAAATGAGTTGATGTTTTGAATTTGGTACAACGGCTTAACTCTCGGCCGTTGCTTACCTACTAGTTAACGTTTTCGTGTAGTGATTAAAATGTATAAAGAAAATCTCGAGAATAGATAAAGTAAATATTTTGCGGGATTTACGCGGAATTCAAATTATATTTGTTAATAGCATTGACTTACAAATAAATGGACGACGGGTCTAATACAAAAACCACGAAAAAAATGTCCCAAGTCAACCTATTCGAAATTTAAATTGTAATGTCATCGCAGTATCGCGCTGTCAGTCGAACAAATGAAGACTAAAGCGGAGTTTGGCGCTCTGTATACGATTTTAGCGCCTTACAAGTGCGGACACTTTTTAGCGCGGACCCGACGTCCATATAATTGTAAGTCAATGGTTAATAGACACAAAATGTATTTTTAAAAATGACATTCTATTTTAGTGGCAATAGAGGGACTTGTGAATGAGTTCGTCCAGGTTAGAAAATGAAATGGGACGGCCTTTGGCACTTGTCAACTTATG